CTCTTTGCATTTGGAACAAACTCTGGGAGCTCCTGCCAGATGGAGGGTGATACAAAGTCAATGACACGGCATCTGATAGGGAGTTCACTGCCTACAGAGGCAGCAAAGTGGCTCTGAGAGTGTATCAGGTGAGACCTGAATCCGAATTCTTCAGGACATATCTATGAAATCTTGAGTTAACCATGAGCAGGAACCTGCTACTGGAAGTATTTAGCTTTAAAACACTGATTAATAATTAACAGAGTGATTATAGCAAATGGATAAAGCTCCATTACAAACTTTCCCACCCTTCCACTGACTTCCTGTAGTTCCTGAACTTTTAATAGCCATTGTGCTAGCCCAGGTGATGCACGCTGCCTCAAAAATATCAGCAGAACAACCCCAACTTCTTGGACTACAGACTTCAATTCTCGTTAATGGGTCTTACCCTAGATATAGCAGGAGGAATTGCATCACTCATTCTTGGAGTAACCCAATAATCAGGACTAAATACTATTTTCGTAATTTACATCACTCCAAAGTCCCAATGCTGCAGAACAAGATGTAGTTTTAGCCTTGGGTCTCTTGTTGGCTGCACCTGTCCCTTTCTGGTGGAAATATGGCAACGTTTACTCTCTCAGCAGCCCACTGGGGAGGGATAGGGATAATGGGAGAGAGTCAGGTGATACCTACAAATCTGAAGCAGAAACATTTGGCTCAGAAGTGCCTTGTCTTGGGACAGCATTGTTTAGTCCTTTGGCACATCCGCAGGCATTTCTATGTAACTTTTAGAGCAGACTTTGAGTCTTCCAAACTCTGAATAAACAAATCCTACCCCTGGTACAGTAAAAGCCTGCTTTCCCTCCCATCCTAAAGACTCTATTGTGCTTGTGGACACCCACACCCACACCAATAAAAAGAATATTGCACTGGGCAAAGCACACAAACATCTGAGAATGCCCAAACCATGGCTTTGCCATAAAACAGCGCCCCTTGTGCATACATGGTATGATCACACCCTCTTTTTCTGAGGCCCTGGCCTCACTGAGTACACAGGACAAATAACACTCATTGCAGGAGGAGAGCCACAAAATGATCCTTAACCCTCTCACTTGCTCTTTTCACTAGCACCGCTTTCCCTGTGGCCTTATACTCTTACTTCCAATAGGGCTCCCCATTGTACACACGGAGACTGCTAGTCATTAGAGTCAGGGATGGAGCAAACATGCTAATGAGCTTTAAAGTACAGTTTGATACATTACTGGATACCCTAAACGTGACTGCCTGCAGGAGGAGGGAACTGTGCTGGAGAGCCCCTAGGCTTCCTCCCATCTCTGGCCTGTGTCTCTGCAGACACCCACCCCAGGCAGGGCCCCTGGAAAATGAGGAAGGTGCAGTGAGCAGCTAGGAAAATGTCAGCCAGCAAGTCAGCCCTCTAGCTCTCAGCTGGGAACTTTAGGGCAGAGACAGGGATGGGCCCTCTCTCTCGGCGGCTCAGCAGCTCCTTCTCTCCCAACAGCCCGCAGCTCTGTTCACAGTCACCTTCCCAACCTTTCTGGAAAACAGAGCTGGGGGCGCCCTGTTGCTTCATTCAACCTCTCATTCCCTCCCAAGGCACTGCCAGTCCAGGGCACCGCAGCAAGCAGACGTCGTGTGAACAACCCCGCAGCCTTCACTGCCTTCCAGACACTCTGCGTGTACAGAAAGAAGCCATGTTACAGGGGCAAACTTCAGTTCAGGAATTGTAAGATACTGCCAGTTGTCTGAACTGCTGGTGGGGGCTCCACGTCCCACACACAGTCCCTCATCAGAAGCGATGCCTGGACTATTTATTAACTCAGTCGTTGTTGCGGTTACCATGAACTATAAATAACAGCCTAGGGAGTGGCATGTAAGACTGAGTGGCAGAACTTGGCTCAGTCCTAGGTGCTGTTTTTCGCTTTACTGATCCTTTTGTAATGGTGTCCCTTTTGCTCTGCGCTGTTTCATAATTTCAGACCTCATGGGAAAAAAATCAATTCCCCCTCCCCGCACTGAAAAAGCTGGGGCTGAACCCACAGTACTCCTGTGGTAAATGTGCTTCAAACAATTCCATCACTCAGTAACTAAGTTACAGCACAGAGATGCTTAATGTTTAAATACATGAATTAATTCTCTCCTTATATAACCCTCCCTCCCTAATCTGCAAATTTGGAGGCTGATTCCTACAGAGTCTTCCCTCCATGGAGCTCACACACATCTGCAAAGATCGAGACCCCTCTAAGCAGGATAAGGGACAGAATACACTGTAATTCCTTGTGACGCAGTCAATTACAATTCCAGCTCTGATACTGCCAACCCCCTCCATCCAAGCCTCTACCCAGACAACCAATTTATTTCGATCTCTCCAGATCTGCTTCCATTTAAACTGGAGAGATCAGAATAAAGGATATGAATACATTTCCAACATGCAACACAGGAATAAATATAAATGCCCAAGCTATTGTGGGACTTTGTCAGAGCTATGTTGCACTGCAGTAAAAGATCAGGAATTCAGGCTAGTTTCTTCTGGCCTGGCACCTGACTTCACGCTAATAAAAGCGATGGGCTGTGCTATGTAGATGTAACCATTTGTTTGCTTGTTTTCTGTCAACAATGTCAACAGCTAAATTACTCTTCTTTTTTTTACTACATGATATGTTTTGAGTCTCCATGACTCACTGAAGACACCAAATGCTTTGTGAATCATCATCTTCAGCTATCATCCAGTGCGATTTACATCATTTTAGCAAACTCGAATGACATATCACGCTAGTGAACTACAGACCACCAGGTGCGTTCAGATAAGTAGCAAAACCTCCCTGGCCAGAGCCCACACTGAAAAAAGCTGACTGGTTCCACATCTGGGGGGAGAAGAAGGGGAAGAAAGGGCAATAGTGTGTTCCCTTCATCTGATGCACTGAGCACTCTCTACTTGTGTGACACTAGAATGAATCTCCAGCCAATTATTCACCAAAGCACTACCTTTAAGAGGGAAAAACATCCAAATGCTGGAGCCCAATGGCAGAGATTTTGCTCTGCCAAAGAGGGAAGGTTGGAATACCCCTCATTTCCAGCCTTTTCTTACTATTCCCTTCTAGAAGCTCATCCAGAAGTTTGAGCAAAGATGGATCAAGGCAGGAGATAGCACAGAATTGTCCTCATATAAAGCAGTCACTGCTTAAAAGAAAGCAAAGAATTTTTTTGAACTCTAAAAACTACTTTCTAGCAGAACTGGTAGCTATAGAAGGATACTTTACCCTCAGCCTGTAGCAGAGTGTGGCCAAGGTTAACTATTAGGCAAGCTTCATTAAACCTTTATAAATGGTGCTACTTGCTACCATTATTCAGACGTATAATTTCCTTGTAAAGCAAGGCAATTATTACCCTGGATATCACTTTTTTAATTATATGCATTAAGTTATTCTTCATGACTATACCTAATTACTCTTCGGGACGTTGCTCATGTGATGAGAATCACACACTACTATCACTTCTGCCTCTGGACAGACAGGTTGATCTATGGCTCTTAACCACAGCAATTGTACAGTAATTGTTCCCTAACTGGTTTTACGTGCATTCCTCATCCAGCACTTTGCTTTCACAGTATGCCCACAATTTCAGGAATCTGCAGAATAATTTGGTTAGTGTTCATTTAAACCCATCTCACAGCCTCATCCTTTTGTAACAACCTACACTGAACAGTGTTGCGCCTCCTAATCTGCAAGTGACAGCAGGAACCTGCAGCCCTGACGACTGATGCACATGAAGTACTTAATTTGCCTGCAAAGCCTTCCCAACATGGGATTCTGATGATGAAAATACCAAGTAACTGTTGATCATCGCAGCAGCAACATGAGCTGACAGCTTTCTCCAGAAAGATGAAAGAGAGTTTGATTGCGTTCCTACAAAACTCACAAAAACTTTCCTAAGAAAAACATCCTTGATGTGGCTGCTTTTGCCAACAAGCTTTCAGGGGGCTTCAGTGGATACAGACTCAAGGTATCACAGGTCCTCCTCTACTATTTCAGCTGTCCACGACCAGATGCAGAATGGAAAGTGTCCTGTAGCAGGGATGACTCCTCAGCAAGATGAGGATTATGTCTATATGTCTGTACTTGCCATGAGCTGATATACCACAGCAGGGTATCAAAGAAGTGAGTATTTGCACTACAAAGAGACAAAGTCAGCCAAAATTTTCTAAGATGAAAAGCGTTCTCTGAGCAAAATGTCACAAGAGTGGCATCTTTGGGACATCAGCTGGATAACCAGTATTCAAGGGTTTATTCTCGCCTACTTCCACTTTCACCCATGCATCGGAGCACTCTGACACCACTGGGGCTGCGATGTTCCAGCTTCGCAGTTTCCTCAGCTTACCATGCTGATTCTCAATAACATATTGTTCTCTTTAGCTCTGCAGTTTGGACGGAGAATTGCTTTGTAAACAACTATATTGCTCACTATACCAGTTCCTTATACAGAGAAAGACATGCCAGCCACAGAAAGAAATAAGCCTGTAACACAGGAAAAAAAAAAAACAAGCAAGCAAAAAGAGAATCATGCAGTTCTCATTCTCAAGAATGTTTCTCTGTTTGATCAAGAAGTAAAACAACACCAAAGCCCAGATTACTAAAAATCATAAACGAATCCAATGTTTAATTAGAGAAAAATCACAGCCTTTTGTGACTGGACAGGACATACATTTTTCCAGGCCGTTTCCCCTCTAGGAAGCTGCTTTATTTAATATGGCACAATTGTAAATTTCACATAAGCTTGGTGGTTTTGGTTTGCAAAACAGGAAGGTCTTGAGAAAACCAGACAAATCAACAAATTCTGATAACCTGAACTGATAAATTGCTGCAAGAATTCTTGTGAACCATCCATATTTGTCCTTATGCAATACATAACCAGTGTCTCGGTGTAGGAAACACAGTTAGCAGGGCTGAAGTAATTCACTGATGTGATTATGCAGCAGTTTCTGACCTATTGAGCTTAAGATCATTTTACTTCTCAGAGATTGTTTCTTCTCCTTTATAAATGACAATGTTCTGGTCTGTTTCATACACTTTGACTTTATAAAGAGTTCCCATGGGCAGGAGCTTCTTGAGGTTTTCCCAGATGAATACTGCAACGTTCTCTGTGGTGCTAAGGGTGAAACACAAGCAGATTCAGAACCGACAGCAATGATAGCTGAGGAAGCTGTACCCAGAATGGGGCGGGGGGAATGCTAAAGGCCACAGGGAGCCATGCAGGCAGCTTTCACACAATGACACTCTGAATGTAAGTGAGGCTTGAATATTGCCAGCAAATATGGATGAAACGAGATTTAATTAACAGGTCGTATCTGTCTCCCTAAGCCATCCACAGAGTAGGCTCATATGACAAGCACTGGTCGCCAAAGGGCTCCTCAAGTGCGAGCAAGTGGTGCAGTCCTTGGCATATGGGAATGCAGCTGCTCCAGCAGGCCGGCAGCCAGCCCAGCACAGTGAGGCAGGCTGTACGGCACCAGGGCTGGAAGGCAGGCAGGGCATCCAGCACCCGACACGCATGGGTATGTATCAAGGCTGCTCTTCCAGATGTAGGACTAAGCCTTGAAGCCCGTTCCTTGACCCTGCAACCAATGCCATGAGGAGCCCCCACCACTCACCTCACAACCTCAGCAAAGTACGGCACATCTTTATCCAGGTTTTTGTGGTCAAGTGGCTCCATGATCGCCTCCTGCAGAAAGAAAACAGTGACAATCTCGTCCTGGTTGGTCAGTGGACCTGAGGTTCAAATTACCACACACATGCGACTGAAGTAAGGCAACAGTATGTAAAAAGAAAGTAACAGCCCTACATCCATCTGTTAACTTCCTACCTGGAGACATGGTACTGCCTCACATCACAGTGCTAAAGCATTTTACTCTTAATTCATTCCTTAATTTCTTCTTTATTTCCTAACATCAACAACCATGTCTCCACCCTGGTGCTAGGCAAACTGCCAGGCTCTAACCAATTATCCCAGGGCATGTGTAGGAAAATAGTGCTATTACCTGCATATATGCTTTCAGGTCTGTCAGGTTTATAACCATTCCTGAGACTGGGTCAATCTGCGGGGAAAACAAAATGGAGATTAGTAGCCTAGCTACACATCCTTATTACCAAGGCTGCCATGAGCCTGTACAAATCTGTGAATCTCTGTATGCTCAGGACATCTGAGCCACAAGAAAAGTATCTTTCCACCTTCACACACTGAGTTCCAACTCTACTCCCGTGATGTTCCCAAAGGCTAAATACAGCATACAAACAATTCCACTGGTTCCACTCTCTCATACAAGCTGACACCAGGGAGGAAAAA